ATTGACGTATTTTTTTTTTTTCTAATTTCTTTCTATGATTGTATAGGTCATTGCACAAAGTTTCGTCTAGAATTGTTCTGTTTTTTTTTTTTTTTGTAAATTTACAAAGAAAAACCAATTTTTATAAATAATTCGTGTATAATTTCGAGGTGTAGGTATACTTTAATTGATCTTTTAAAAGTGTAAATGAATCGATTTATTTTTGCTTGTTTCCAAAGCGTAAAAGTTTTATGTAACGATAAATACTTAAAGTTACAAATATTACATTAATAATCACCTGTCATTATATACGAACAATTTTATCCTAACGATAATATACCTAGGTGTTTTTAAATGCTTTAAGTAATATTGTTCGTTTTCTTTTTTTCTTTTTCCCGATCGATATATTTGAAATCTTTTGCTTGTTGTGGTCGATTATAAAATACGATAATTATATTTAAATGACAATTTTAATGGGAATACTTAACCTTTTCGCTTCGAACGATGCATGTATGCATATATATATATTATAAATACACCCACACGATAAAATGGACGCTCAAGTACAAAGAGTAGATATAAGCCATCGGAAAATTGACGCTTAGGTATGAAGAACGTATCCGAGTATCATAAGTGCACCGTACATCAGCGTCTACTTGTCAACGATGCATTTCGTTCATGGAAACACGCATTATATTTTACAAGCACGATGAAGCGATAGAGTTAAGTCTCACAACAAGAAAAGAATAAAAAAAGAAAACATTCCTTGTTGATACTCGCAGGATTATCATCATGCTCGTTTTATCATGCACAATTTATATTCCAATAATTTATAATTTCAATTTTTTATACTTCCCTATAATTTGTTTCTTTTTTTTTTATATTGCAGAGTAACTAATCCCCTCGCCCCTACAAAAAATAGAAAATATCCTCCTACAATATTTTTCTTGACAATAGTTTATCTTTCTAAAATAATATAGAATGTTATCAGTTTATCAAAATTATTTGATTGTTTCGTTTAAATTATAACAGAACAATAACGTATAAAAACATAAACGACATTAATTATTACTGAACCTAATTAATAGTGAATATTTTGAACGTTTCAACAAAAAAAATATGACAATAAGAGTAATTACTCTTATAGTAAATACTTTAAATAGTAAAGCATTTTTGTATGAAATATTTTCTTGTTATCGTTCGTATTCAGTTTAACGGTTGATTTCTACTGTATCGACAAGTCGTCGTCGTCGTCGTCGTCGTCTTCGTTGTCGTCGTTTGTTGTAAACATCGTTAAATCGAGAAAATATGTTGCTCTTGATCGTTGTACTAATGATTCTTCTATATTTGTTTTCACGTTTATGCACGAAGAGTAGTAGTAATACTAGCGATGCAACAAAAAATATACGATATAAAGAAGATCGTATGTTTTTCTATAAAAATAGGTGTACACATTTGTACCGTACTTATTATAATATATACAAATATTTTTTACTCAGCTAGATTAACTTTCTAATGGTGGTAACAAGTTATTAACATTTTGCACATATACAAAATATACATTGCAATTTTATATTTATTACAATAAAACTATATCAAAATATCGTTTGACCTTTCTCCAACTTTAAATTAATCGAAAATCTTCAAGAAACTATAATTGAACAGTACTAAATTTGATTAGATTTAATTAATCAAAAGTGAATTATTATGATCGAAATTAATTAAATCAATACACCATTTACCAATAATTATTTCTATATATATATATATATATTTCAAAAGTTGCATTACCATACTGAAAAATTATAAAAGAAATCAAAAAAATTGTCGATTTTCTTACCGATGATCCAAATAGACGAAACTTTTTGAAATGATTCGTTGACGAGAATTTCTGAAAATGAAGAAATGGTGGGGGGAAAGAAAGAAAGGTGAAAGATGGACGACGGAACGACGCCACGATGACGACGACGATGACGACTACAACTACGAAGGGGCAAACTTCTAAGCAAAGTCACGTCTCAGAGTGCTCGAGAAGAAGAAGAAGAAGAATAAGAAGAAGAAGGTACAGAGCCCACGAAGAGAGAGCTCTCCTTCAAGCAAACTTTACGGGCTCGTAAAGCGAACTGTGTAGCGATGAGATATGACGCCGTACGCTTTTGTCCGTTGGTCCATTTCCGTTCCACTCCGATTCCTTTTCGTTTCTCTCTGCTCCAATCGCGTTTCGTATTTCTGCAACAAAGGATCCACGTTTCTTAGTTAAATTCAATTTTTAATAGAAATTAAATTGAACAAATTATTATTACCCCTTATTTTTTACAAATTTTTTTATATATCTCATTATATTGTTAATAATAATAATAATAATCATCGAATTGTCTTACAAAATATATAAGATATACGTATAGATCTTGTATATGATAGAAATAGAAATAAATTACATAAAAACAAAGGAATATATGATGAAAATGAGACAGACATTGCATAGAAATGATTTGTTTGATCATTTTGATGATAAATTTATTAACAAAGTATGACATGCTTAGCGTGAAATTTTTAATTATTTTTTTCTTAACTAACCATATTGGAATGAACGTAGCTCAAGAAGCACTCCAGAACGCGCAAACTCCTCTAACACCGGATTCGGTTATTGCTTTATTTTGAACTAGCGAACCATAAAAGCTCGGGATCGTAGAAAGCCAAGCAGTGTCTCGAAACGAGTCAGTAGAAGTTCAGTCAGACGTGCCGTGAGCGCGTGAGTCGATATTTTAACCGTCAGCAAAACTCGCGGCCCCAGCACGCACCCACACACACAGATACACCAGCGCGCGAGAACTCACGAACACCCTACGTTTTAATATACATATATCTTGCGTGGGTTAAAGTTGGAACCGGATCGCCAATTTTAAGCGTCGTGTTCTGATTATGGGAATCGATCTCTCGTTGCCGTGATGTTTATACAGTTACGATGTAACCTATTTTGCATTAATTTAAAATGTAACAAAAATTCTCGCTTATAGGATAAATTCAAATAAATTAGATGTTTTAAATATTGTCTATGAGAAGAATACTCATTAATAAGGAAAATATAAATAATTAAGATAAGATCGTGGAATATTTACCATTACGTTGAAAAATACAATAAATTTCTCCTAGCCTCGAAAATTAACGTGAAAAAATTTTGTTATCACGGCTTTTGTGTGATATCGTTACGACTATTAAATAAATTACAAGCGGCCGCGAAAATATCGAGTAACGACTAATCTCGGTGCTGGCTGGTCGCGGCCCACAACTGTTAGTACGCGTTCACGAATCAGGGATTAAAGAGCAGTCGGCGAAATATTCAATTATGCTATAACTGCTAGCAATAATATAGCGAGGAAGCCAGCCAACGCGGTATTCGCATTAAAGCTTGCGTTTTAGACACGTTGAGCGTTAATACTTCTTTTCAAGAAACTAATTCAAACGAGATACCACTATGATTAATGTAATGATGAGTATATTTTAATGTACATTGTTGTAATCCATTCGTTCCATCGTCCTACACGTTCGGTATTGATCATGTTTCAGGTGAGTCGATATCTCGATGCTCCAGACATTATTACGGGGAATACGACACCGATGGACCCGGCAGTGAAGCAGAGGTTACTTCGTCATCTGGACAGTTGCGTGTCCGAGCTTGATCTAGATCTTGGATCGAGACCTGACAGTGGATTGGGTAGCAGTCCTGGTAGCGTGACGGATCGTGTGACCGGAGCTACGAGTCCTGGTCCTTTGGATCATCACGTGCCACCGACGCCTCATTGCAGTACTGCCTTGAATCCAGCTGGTTTAATAAAGTCAGAGATACCAGAGATGGAGACGGCCAGGCCTGACAGTAGCACGACGGCCGGTGACGAAAACAACAACAGTAGCAGACCAACTTCGGCGTTCAGTCAAGTCAATCCAGCTGGTCTGGATCAACATCACCCTTCCGGTATACCGGTCGATCAAGCCTCGACATCGCAGCAAAATCCAAATATGCTGTCGGTCGTACAGGTGATACCTTCGAGATTACCTGACGGCCAGGTTGTCTTCCTTCTACCTAGTCATTACGTCCAATTGGCTGCGGCAGCGGCAGCGAATGGTATCAGTATCGGACCGAACCCACCAACTGCAATCTGGGCAGCTACAAACATGTCCTTGCTCAAAGCTACGGACAAATTAGCTAAAAGACCTCACGAGGAGATGCAAGAATGGCAGGAAACTGCGGCTGGTGTTAAACCTAGTAAGAGTCCTCGAATGCAGGAACAACCCGAACAACCATTAGACTTTACTACCAATTCGAAGAAATTAAAAACGGCCTCGAGAAACTCTATTCACGGTATACCGAGTATCGAGCATCAACAACAGCAACAGCAGCAACAGCAACAGCAACAACAACAACAGCAACAACAGCAGATACAACCTTCTCGAACGACGACTGATGGTGCGATTGTTCACGAGGAGAGACCCTCTAGTCATGCGGGTAGTGAAATCGCTGTTGGAATGCCATCGCCATCTCAGCTCGGTCAACAGGCCGTCAAGGATGAAGAGAGCATGTGGAGGCCTTGGTAAATCGAGAATACCATTTGCCAATCGATTGCGTCGATCTTACTTGTATATAAATTATACATACATATATATATATATATATATACATACTTTAACGTTTTATCGATGGTGATTCGAGTGAAACAGCTTCGATTCGAAACAACATCCCTGTCCTTCCCTCTCCCCCATTCCACCAACACCCTAGTCAAGGAAACCCCACACGAAATGGTTTTTCCTTAGCGCAAAGGATTTTTTTTCTCGGAGTACGTAAGTAAGTAAGTATACTTACGTGCAATAACGCCTGACGTCTGACGTCAAACTCGAAGTTCTTTATCTACTACTACTACTACTACTTCTTCTTCTTCTTCTTTTTCTTCTTTTTTCTTCTTCGAAGCAGTTTCATGCGATTCAGAATGCCAAAGTAGTAAAACGAGGCGAAAAAAATTTAACGATCGTAAAAAAATAAAAGAAATAAAGGAAAAAAAAAGAAAAAAAAAAAGAGAGAGAGAGAGAGAGAGAGAGAGAGAGAGAGAGATAGAAGAAAATTATCCGACGTCTGACGATGAAGCTCCGCATTTTTTTTTTCTCCAAGTGAATAATAAAAATACGATATTCGAAGGAAAAAAAAAACAAACAAACAAACAAAAAGAAAAGAAAAAAAAAAAAAAAGAGACGATTTCTTTTTTTCTTTTTGTGCAAAGACCCTTGTTCGATGAAATGATAATGACGATGATGATAATGATGATAATGATGATAATGCGTAATGAACGATAGATGTATCGTAGATACGCGCGTTATGTCGTTTAATAATTAATTGTATGTATGTAAATGAACGATGAGAGAGAAGTAGAGCGATGAATCGAGCGTATGTTAAAAGCGTATGCAAGCGTGCATTTGTGAGATAAATAAAAAGATAAATAAAAGAGAGAGAGAGAGAGTAAGAGTGAGAGAGTGAGAGTGAGAGTGAGAAAGGAGTAAACGAATGTTTAAACGTGTGAACGGATACGTTAAATGCGTTTAAAAACCGAGACATCGTGTGTACATAATCCCGATCAGAACTATTGCTATTGTCGAGATATAGATTTATTTTGATGTTATCTAGATGTATATGCGTGTATTATTATTAGTAAGATACTGCGAGAGAAAGAGTTCGATGGATGGGATGAGATGGGATGGGAGAGGAGTGGAGAGGAGAGGAGAGGAGAAGAGAAGAATGTGAGATAGAGAAATAGTATGAAAGCGTGCGAGATCGTGAAAATTACACTTGTAGAGACACCATCATCTCACCACGTAAACTTACGTCTATAATTGCTAAATATCTCTGGAATTCGAATTCCTTATCAATGTACTTAGACATGCAGTCAATATAAGCATATATATTGAACTGTATAATATCTTAATAATCAATTTCATTTCTCTTCATTACCTCGACCCCATTTCCTTGATCAAAAGACAACGACAATTAAGAGGAGGGGAGATTACCATGGACGACGACGACGTATCCTGCTAAATAAATATGGTAAGTAATTAAATGAGAGGAATTTTATCTTATATTGGGATATATATATATATATATATATAAAAGGTAGGATACAAAAAATTAATGGGTTAATTAATGGAGAGAGAAAGAAAAGAAAAAAAAAAATCCGAAATTATCTTTCGGTCACGTTTATTTTTCCGAAATGTCCTCTTATGCGTGTTTTAGTAGATCCGATGTGTCCGTGTCAGGAATCCGATCGGATTTGATATATTTTAATTATACATTTGATCACTTCCGTTTATTCTCGCGAGATGTATCGAATAACGAAACGTCATTATTAAATGTTGACTCATGATATTCTTCGTGTGACATCGTACGTAAATAATTTTTTCTTTTTTTTTTTTTTTTTTTCCCCCCACTCACACTCATTCATTCTTTCTCTCTTACTTTTAACGCGTGTGGTGTTTCGCGTGTGGACGACCTTCGACGAACGCCTTTCGGCCTGT